ACATTTATCAGTTCATTTGAATATTTATAATTGGTTCCATAAACAATCATTATATATTTGTGATTTATTTATTTTGAAAATACTTGCATTTTTCATATATTTTATCTTAGATATATTAATTTAAAATATTTCCATGAGTCCTAACTGATTTACTTTGTTAGGTTTTCCTGGAGCCAGAGGATTGCCGGGTTCGGATGCTTTCCCAGGACAAAAGGGTGTACCAGGAAATACAGGGTTTCCTGGATTCCCCGGTGCTAAAGGCTTCCAAGGAGACTTAGGTCCAACTGGCTACCGGGGCCATCACGGTGTCTCTGGAAGGAAAGGTACACAAAAAAGTCATATTACAGACCCTTTGTTCTATAATCGTATTTGCTTTTTGATGTTCCATGTGAAGGGGATTTGGGTGTAATAATTTGCTTTTGTTTTCTTTTTGATGCCACTTTATTAAATGTATGTAGCTAGCATAAAATAAAATGTCAATACTTACTTTTTTGAGTTACCATGGGGTTTGAATTACTTTTTAAAAATATGTTTATATTGTTGGTATCTTACATTTTGTGGTTCTGTCCCAACATCTTTGAGAAATGCWAAGTAAAACCAGTGGTTGGTACAAAAAAAAATTGTATATTTATTTAAAGGGGGAAAAGGAGACCAAGGAGTCATGGGATTTCCTGGTCATACTGGTGTAAAAGGAGAAAGAGGACCATCGGGTCCAAAAGGAACCACTGGACTTCCAGGTCAGTTATCATCTCCTATTAAACTGCCTGACAACAACAGAATATAGTCTTGATAAATGTTCATCTCTTGTTCATCCAGCTGCTTTTAAACATGAAGCCACTTTTAAAGAAAAACAATCTCGACCCAGCAGTTCTATCAAACTACGGACCTATATCTAAGCTGCCTTTTTTGTCGAAGCTTTTAGAGAAAGTCGTTTTTAATCAGCTCCATGGATTTTTAACTGTCAACAACAACATTGGTGAAATATTTCAGTCAGGATTTAAACCAAGTCACAGCACAGAGAGGGCCCTTTTAAGAGTTGTTAATGATCTTCTTTTAACAGTTGATTCAGGAAGCTCTGCTGCTTTAGTGCTTTTAGACCTCTCTGCTGCCTTTGATACTGTGGACCATAACATTTTGTTGTCACGTCTTGAGCAGCTGGTTGCTATCAAAGGCAAAGTTTTATCATGGTTTAAATCTTTTTTAACTAACAGGAGTTTTTCTGTTCACCTTGGTGAATGTTCTTCTTCATCACCTCCTCTGATTTGTGGGGTCCCCCAAGGGTCCATTTTAGGCCCACTTCTTTTTAATCTTTATATGTTGCCTTTGGGGTCCATTTTCAGAAAGTACAGTATAACATCACTTCTCTCTGCTTTGCTGATGATATTCAGGTCTATATGCCCATTAAGTTGAACAGGGACGCTCCATTGGAACCACTCTTCAGCTGTCTAAATGATATAAAGACCTGGCTAAAACTAAACTTTCTGAATCTAAATGAGAGTAAAGCTGAAGWAATCACTTTTAGTAAAGTTAATTCTCATGACAGTGGCCCTTTATTTTCATACAGCCACTCTACTGTCAGGAATTTGGGTTTTCTCTTTGACGGTGTCTTTAAATTGGATAAACAGATTAATTCAGTTGTAAAATCAAGTTTTTTCCAATTAAGACTGATTGCTAGGGTGAAACCATATCTCCCCACCAAAGACCTTGAAAGGGTGATTCATGCTTTTATTACCACTCGCTTGGACTATTTGTAATTCTTTGTATGCTGATTTGGATAAATCATCTCTGCATCGCCTACAGACTGGTCAGAATGCAGCAGCTCGTCTTTCAACAGGTACTAAAAAGCATGAACACATTAACCCGGTCCTGGCTTCTCTCCATTGGCTTCCTGTTCACCTGCTAATTGATTTTAAGATTTTATTGGTGGCTTTTAAAGTTTTTAATGGTCTGGCCCCATCATATTTATATGATCTTCTTAACATCTACTCTCCAGTCAGAGCACTCAGGTCTACCAACCAGTTCCTGTTAGATGTTCCTAGATCCAAACTGAAATCTAGAGGTGACCGGGCTTTTGCAATAGCTGCTCCAAAGCTGTAGAACAGTTTGCCTCTTAATATTCGGTCAGCAGAGACTGGTGAGGCTTTTAAATCTTTGCTGAAGACCCATTTATTTTCTTTGGCTTTTCATTAAGAGTTGGAGGTTCAGTTAGAGCTTTTTTATATATTATATTGTGTTATAAATAAATTTGACATGGACATCTTCTAAATTGYCGTTCTATAGGTTCTACAAAAAACTACAGGATTTTTGTTTTTGATTTATAAAACAACTCAAACACTCCTGTAACCACTCTATGGTATTTTGCCTCATTCAATCGCACACCACTATGCACCACTGTGTCCTGTTTTCAGTTTTTTTTTCTAAATTGTAAAAAAAAACTAAAAATCTTTTCCACAGGCTTTCCCGGGCAACCTGGCAGCCAGGGTCCAGCTCCAATACCCATTAAAGTGCCAGTAGAGAGGGGCCGTCCAGGACCGCAGGGRATCCTAGGACCAAAGGGGATTAGAGGGGAACCGGGACCACGAGGCCCACCAGGAGATCAAGGTTACTCATCATGAGACATTTTATGATGAAACTCTTAGTCCAGGTCTAATCACAGCTCTTGGGTACCTGCAGTACAGTAAAGGTGCAGCACAGTAACAGATGTATCTATTGACCCTGCAGGGTTCATAGGACCCCTCGGGGAAAGAGGTATGCCTGGGGTTAGTGGAACTCCAGGAGTGCCTGGATTCCGTGGAGATCATGGACAGTTAGGACACCCTGGTCTGCAAGGCACAGAAGGTATGTCTGACACTGTGGGGCAGTTTGGGATTAGGGTAATAATCTTGGATTAAAATGTTTAGAGCAAGAAACCGCTTTTATAGTTTTGTAAACTGATGTATTTGTTGTTATTCACCTGTCAGGTAAATAAACTGCTTTATCTTTAACAGGTCGGCGTGGTAACCCTGGCATCCCCGGGTTACCTGGTATGCCTGGCCGCAGTGTCAGCGTGGGCTATTTATTAGTGAAACACAGCCAGACCGTGGAAACCCCCATGTGTCCTGTGGGAATGTCCAAACTGTGGGATGGCTACAGCCTGCTGTACTTTGAGGGCCAGGAGAAGGCCCACAACCAGGACCTTGGTAGGTCAACATCAAAACTATGAATAAATAATAGGACAAAGCAGTCAAAGAAAGTTTCACTGAAAATCATTGAAGGATCTTTAGAAAGCCTGTTGACCCAAACCATTTGGATTGGTGGTTTAAATATTTTGCACAGTCCTGTATCTCACAGAGCTCTTGTGTTTTCTGAGAACACACATCATCAGCTGTAACAGAATCTTGTCCACTGCTTGTCCCATCCCTGATAATCTAATTTAGCTGCATACCAGCAGATTTAGAATTGACTGTAAATATTCTGATTTGAGGCCTAAGTGAATAAACTTTTTTCTCTAAAATGCAATACTAATGTTTACTTTAAATTTTTCGTTTTAATCTAATAGAAATCAGAAAACTTTTGAATTATAAAAGTGATGGACATTTCTAAAACTATCAATCCCACCAGATTTAATTAATGGTTTCTTGGAAAGCAGTTTAGACACAGGAATTGGGACTTTCCAGGAAATTTTCAAAAATAGAAACCTCTGACCACGAGCCGGTACGAGTGGAGAAAAACTCAGATCTTAACAGATTTCTAATACYGTATAACAATTTGACTTGGCTGAAATGAAACTTATGATAAAATCCTCAAATGCTTGATGTTTTTTTGTTTGTTTTTTTCTCTCCTTCTTCAGGTTTGGCAGGCTCTTGCCTCCCACGCTTTAGCACCATGCCCTTCCTGTACTGCAACCCCGGAGACGTTTGCTACTATGCCAGCAGAAACGATAAGTCCTACTGGTTGTCGACCACCGCTCCACTCCCCATGATGCCTGTGGAGGAAACGGAAATCAAACCGTACATAAGCCGCTGCTCCGTGTGCGAGGCTCCGTCGGTTGCGATCGCCGTCCACAGTCAGGACACCAGCATCCCTCAGTGTCCCGTGGGCTGGCGCAGCCTGTGGATTGGCTACTCCTTCCTCATGGTGAGTTCCAGTCTCAGGTGGAAGCTTCAGCCATCAGAGAACATCAAACATCATTAGTCAAACAATATTATAATAAAAAGTAAAGACGAGGACTGGTACAGCTACAGTAGGTGAAAATAGTTCTTTACATTGAAATGTGATTAAATGGAGTTTTCATTTTTAGGTCTTATTTATTCAGGTGCAAACCACTTTTATTACAAAGCTGAGTTAGTCTTTGTTTCTTTACAACTTGAAGGAGTACTAAAAAACACTGACTTGAAAAGATAACTTAGCACATTTTTAGTTTTATAAAATCAATTTGAGTTCAGCCCCTCCCCMCAAACTTGGTCTTGTTCATTGAGCCGTTAAACACTGAGCTTTGAATCATTTACCAGCCAACACAAAACAGAAAAAATAAAGTTTAGACCTTTGTCTTTTAGTTTTCATGTTTTTGTTGATTCTTCACTGTAAAATCCARTTAGTTCTCATTACTTTAAAAAAGCTTGTAAWCCGATTGCACTTAAATAATCAAATACACTGAACTAAGTATTTTAAGTTGTACTAACTAGCGGCTGTGTGTGTAGTGGTAGAGCAGCTGGCTTTGGGACCGGCAAGTCACAGGATTGACTCCCCGCCATGCCCACATGCCGTTGTGTCCTTGGGCAAGACACTTCACCCGCCTTGCCTACTGATGGTGGTCAGAGGGTCCGGTGGCACCTGTGTATGGCAGCCTCGTGTGCCCCAGGGCAGCTGTGGCTACAATTGTAGTTTACTATCATCAGTGTGTGAATGTGAGTGTGTGCATGGGTGAATGTCTGTTAGTGTAAAGTGCTTTGAGTGTCCTGGATGGATAGAAAGGCGCTATTTAAGTACAGTCCATTTACCATTTAGTGCTTTCTTTGTAGAGTACACTTATATATGGGTTGAAGCAAATAAGAAAATCAAGTAGCATGTACTTGATAATTTACTTTAAGTACTTGACTTGGTAAAGATTACTCAGAATTATTTTAATCTACTTAATCATCGCAACTCTGGTTCCTGAGCTGAAGAGAGAAAAAAAAAGTAGGAAGAGAGAAAAAATACTTGAAACTCGTGTTTCTGCTAATTTAGTTCTTATATTTAAACATTAACTAAAAAAAAATTGGACTGGTGCATTCTGGGCCGCAGAGACTGAACTGTGCATGCACACTTCTTTGAATGTGCAGTAGGGGGGACCTTGGCTACTTATTATTGGTAGAGAGCTTAACTTTGAAGTAATGTTCACTCAAAACACTTAAGTATTTTGCACTTTTCAAAATGTAACTGTTAGTTAATAAATACAAGTCAGAAGTACAAATTGTTGATAACCAAGTAACATTAATTTATATTTGTAAGTCATGATAACTATTGGATTTTACAGTGTATCTCATTCAACAATGATGTAACTTTCAGTGATTTCTAAAGATCTCAAACAAAAGCAGTTTTCTAGCTAAGTTCACTTTAAACAATAAMATTTGTTAAATGAGGTCAAGCTGAATTGGTTTTGTCTCAACACCTAACACTCCTTGTTTGACCTGATCTGACCCCCGGCAGCACACATCAGCAGGAAACGAAGGCGGAGGCCAGTCCCTGTCGTCGCCCGGCTCCTGCCTGGAGGACTTCCGCACGGCGCCATTCATCGAGTGTAACGGGGCCAAAGGCACATGCCACTACTTCGCCAACAAATACAGCTTCTGGCTGACGATCATGAACCAGGATTTCCACTCTCAGCCGGCGTCACAGACACTAAAAGCAGGCCAGCTCCTTTCGCACATCAGCCGCTGCCAAGTCTGCATGAAGAACCTGTGAGAAAGACTTGAATTTTTTTGGTTTCTTGTTTTTAGAWTGGTTTATTTTTCCACCTAAATTCTGCAAGGACTCTGCGACGCCTTCAGGATGCACTGTATATAAAACAAGAGAAGTCCTGTGATAAGAACAACTCAGTTATTTGTATTAAATATGTTTTGGTGCTTACTTTTTAACTTATTACCTCAGCTATAATTGTTAACCATCAGAGACCGTAAATTACAGCTGAACCAAAGATGCACAGATTGATGTATACACCGCTTCAGTTTAACCACAGGTTTCGGTGGTTTAGACTCTAAGGCTCAACACTGCCTCGTAGCCACGTGGTTTTATTATCCTGCCTTGTTTCTACTGCATGTACAAAGCTTCCTTTTGAAATGACAGTAATCTGTTTTTATGCATGTATCAACTACTGCTAAATCCTTTTTTCCCCTGTTCTCCATGTGTTCACACAATGCACTGATTCTGTTTATGCCATGAAATGACATGAAGCTTTAAATGTAGATCTTTTGTATCATTTTTAGCTACAATGTTTTCGTTTTTTTTTTTTTTTAACTACACTGACAGCCCAACACAGAACGTGAACACAGGATCAGTGATTCTGGGTCAGATTACCGCATTTTACTTTGCTTAGAAAGTAGGTTAAACGTTCTGCATCACACAACCGTTTAAAAATAATCCAATAAAACCTAAATAATCCATTTTACAAAAATCTGCTTTGTGTCAGAAATGATCATTTTCTAACACTGTTTTATAAGATAAAATGTTTTGAAATGTGACAAAAAAAAAGTCAACAGCAAAATAAAACTCTTTATTACGACAGTACTTTTTACAAAGTTCAACAAGAATATTTGACACTTATTTGCTCGAGGTTTGAATACAAAGATCAGTTTTAATGCTAGTAAAAAAACAATTAGGTGAAAATAAAGTGATATGTGATTAAAACAAATTACAGCGAAATGTGTCACCCTGCTAACGATTAGTGCAGTTAAATTAGTGAAATTACATGAGTAAAACATTCACAAAGACCGGTGATTGTCTTTTTTTTTTTCTTTGAATCTGTCTCTCTCTCTCTTTCAGACATCTTTGGCAGACTAAGTGCAGTTTCAGTCATTACTGAGGAAGGTTTCAGATATTACAGTGATATGTCCCTTCCTCACAGAAAAAAAGCTAAAGTTCTCTGATTATATTTGCACTTCCTGATACTCTTCACAGCATGTGTGTGTGCGTTTTCTATCAAGTCTCAGTTAAGGTGAAACATGGGTGTCATCAGTTTGAATCTGGACAGACATGTTAAAAATGAGTTTGATAGTGAAAGCCTYTCGGCTCCTGTTTTGGGTCCTAGCAGCAGGATTTGCCCCGCTTGCTGCTGGCCCCCCCGGATTCTTCCAGAACAACCGTTGGCGACTCCTTGTCCTCGTTCCTCTTCCTCAGGATGGACGGCAGCAGCAGCTTGAACAGCGTCTCGAACAGAGCGTCCACGTTGTAGCCGGTCTTGGCGCTGGTCTCGAAGCACATCTYGTCTGCTGGGAGTCCGCTCTTCTCGTCCAGGCCTTTGTACCGCAGGATCCTTCCGTAAAGCGCCATCGCATCCTCGCGGCTCACCTGTTTGCGGAGTGCCGAACCAGAGAGGGACACGGGGGAAGCTGGAGGCGTGGTGCAGGCGGGCGGCACCTGCGGTTCTGTCCTCTCCTCGTCGCCGCCGGTTCGCTCCTCAGAGAGTCCATCGGAGTCCAGGGCCAGCTGGGCTTTAGGGTCGGTGAGATCCGCCTTGTTGCCCACTAAGGCGTAGATGCAGTCGTGGTCGGCGGTGTCGGTCAGGGACAGGAAGCGTTCCTCCAGCTCGCCGAGGCTCTGCCAGCTCGTGACGTCGTAGGTGAGGATGACAGCGGCTGCACCTCGGCAGTACATGGAGCCCAAACCGTGGAACTGTTCCCGGCCTGAGGAGACAGAGGGGTCAACAGCTGAGAACAAACTTAACCTGAAACAATAAACAAGGGGCAGACATGATGAGTTTCCCCCATAGACTTGAATATAGATCACTAGACTGAGCCCCGCCCATACCGTCCACTGGTAGCGTCTGTGACAGCATGGAGGAGCAGAAACAGACCTAACATGGCAACAGCTCACAGCTTCCATAGAAACTAACAGATAAACAACAAGCTGAACTGGATCTGTTTCACAGTTTATCTGTCATGTTTTTACAATAAATTAATAATTATGATAATTTCATTCAACAATCATAAAACAGCAGATATATGCCAGAAATATATACAATTTATAAATAACAATGATCTAAACCAGACCTGAAGTCAGCTTGTAACTTAGACTTTAGCTTGTTGAAAAATGATGACTTCAGCTGGTAATAAAGTATATTTATTATTTCTTCTCACTGTCATTATTTCTTCTTACTGTTTATTAGCTAAACAACAAGTCAGGTTCCTCTAACAGAAACCTAAAAATACTCACATTTATAATATTTTACACTCTGTAGGTCTAAATATTAACCATAGGACAAATCAGCTGTAATATTTAATAGTTTGTGTTAAAGTGTAGCATGATTCAACAGTGCTAAACTCTGTATAAATGCTCCACAAGCTAATATCTGTTAACCAGTTCAACAAATAACAGTGATTACAGCGACTTTATAAGATTATTTTAATTTTAAACTGTTACATTATGTTCTGCTCAGATCACATTGAGCTAAATAAGATCAAATCTGTTTACTTGTGACGTGAAAAGAGACGTTTTCCTATGGAAGTAAATATATGCCATCAGAATTACGTGGGCTGTGTCTCAGTTCACGTAGGCCACATCCTTGCTGGACCAGGTAGGATGCTCAAAACTGCTGTGAAATGAGACGTTTTCCTATGGAAGTAAATATATGCCATCAGAATTACGTGGGCTGTGTCTCAGTTCACGTAGGCCACATCCTTGCTGGGCCAGGTAGGATGCTCAAAACTGCTGCGAAATGAGACGGTCCAGCCTTCGCCTGATGTC